TGGCTGCCATACCAGCTGCTAATATGTTGGACAAAATGGAGTTGTATGGTACAAGATTATTGTTTTCGAAGGATTGTTGACCAACCCATTCCTGAACACGCATCACTTCCTTTTGTTGAAACCAGTTTACTCGCATGTATTCGTTTTCTTCAAGACTTTTCCTGAGCTTGCTCTGCCCCTCGTTGTTGGGTCCTAGCATGGAGTCAGCAAACTTGTGGTTGGACTCTGACCCTTTGATAAACTGCATCGGTGGAAGACGGAATGTTACTCGGGTAATGACACCAAACAGCCCCATGGAAACACCTACCGCACACCAAAGATCAGTTCCACGTTCGGCCCTTTGAACTTGTGCATTGCCGTCCACAAACTCGATCTCTTGGATGACATCAGCAAAGGTATGCTTTAAGCTTCCACCTGCAGAGCCAGTCATGATAAAGCCACCAACTTGATTCCTCCCAGCTCAGGAAAGCCATACCCTTGAACTGCCACCTGATAGCAAGCTGAATTGGGGTCCAAGGGATCTTTGCCAAGATAGCAGCCTCCTCCGATACGACAATACAACCATTTCTTGCCATCTTCTTCGGCTGTGTGCAGTATTTCTACTTTTCGAAGATCATCCTTTAGGACCAGTGTGATGCCATCCTCAGGATAAATGGCCGCGTTTACGGAGTGTTCCGATCCAACGACACGGAGGACTTTCTTCTCCCTCTTAGCTCTTTTAACTGCATCTATAACGTCTTGAGTATTGGAAACGGAGGATCGAACATATTCTTCCGGCACAATGGGACCTCCAGGAGCTACAATACTTTTTGCCGCATCTTCCATAAGATGCACCATTACTGGGTCCAACAAATTTAATCCCGACGAGAGATCGACAATAGGAGTGACGATCTTACTAAAGAATGCTTTGGCCGCACTAGCCCTATCAGCCTCTGAAACTGAAGAAAAAAATTGAAAAATCCATGAGATTTTATTGCGTCATATAATAGAACAGAACTATTAGTTATCATTAGAGTTATTTCGTGCATATTGGCAATAAAATTTCTTAGGTAATATAGTGTTAACAACTGAGTTGAAAACGTAAATTGGACACCGTAAAGAGTAAAAAGTTTGACGTTTCGAGCGTTGGCCCTTCGTCAGAGATCGCCAATTTGACGTTGTCGATAAGAGTTCAGACATGCTGCTCGCGTCAATGTGTCACGATCTTGATCACGTACTGAAAGAATCGTTTTGTTTGAGGTCGATATTGTA